CTTCCTTTGTGGTTGTTGTTGACTCTCGTAGTGCCCTCATGGCTCTCGGGTGCTTTAATCCAGTTCATCCGGTAGTTGTCGAGATCCAGCATTGGCTGTTTCTCGTTCACAGTAAATTTAAGTCGGTTGAGTTTTGTTGGGTTCCCAGCCATATTGGCGTGTCTTTAAATGAGCGTGCGGATGCTGCCGCTAAGGAAGCTGTCCGCTCTTGTCCCATCTCTCGTAAAGGCATTCCGTATTCCGACTTTTACCCGGTTATCCATTCCTCAGTCCTTACCCGTTGGCAGGCTTCTTGGTTGTCTGTTACTGGTAACAAGCTACGTACTCTTAAATGTTGTGTTTCCTCGTGGCCGTCCTCCTTCCACCGTAACCGGCGGTGGGAAACAGCTCTAGCGAGGTTGCGTATTGGCCATACTCGCTTAACCCGCTTAACTCGCTTAACACTTGATGGAGCGCCGCCCTGCTCCTTATTGTCCTAGTTGCATTGTCCCTCTTACGGTCGTGCATGTCCTTCTTGAATGTCCTGACTTCCAGGACGAGCGTGTGTCTTGCTTTCCGACCGCCCCTCGCGGTCACCTGTCCCTCGATAGAATTCTTGGTGACTCGGATACTTTTGATATCGTTCGCCTTATGCGTTTTTGTTCTCGTATTGGCATCCTTGGTGATATTTAGCGCCCTCTGATTATTTTGCGTATTTGATGGTGCTACATAGCCTTCCCGGTTTGGTGCCTTCTTTTGATAATTACTTACTTACTTCATAGGCCATTGGTCCCTGCACCTCTCTGAGGGGACCATGTTCTGGCTAGTGGTCCCCGGTTGGCATGACAACTCCATATGACTGAAGCCCCATACCAATATTAGCTTATATCAGTTCAATAGCTCCAGGGAGCTGAGAGGGCTCCCCCACAGACAGCACAAGTATTTGAGATGTGCAAAATAACCCCCAAGAACCATACCTTCCACCTCACTTGGGAATTACTTTGTAATCACACTTCATGTCTGACCCATTTAGGACTTATCTAAATTTTAGTAACAGTAGTTTAAATGGTAATAAAGTTTAGTGAAAAAATAACCAGCATTCAATGTACATTAATGAAACACCATTTTTTTGGTTAGTCCCAGAGGCTTCCTGGAGCTATAGGACTGATATATGCAATATTAGTCTGGGGCTCCAGTCTCATTAAGTTCTGCCTACCGGGAACCATGAGCCAGAACATTGCTCCCTGCACCTCTGAGGGAGTCAGGGCCTATGAAAACAACACTCTTTGAGAGTACATGGTATATTCATGTCAGCCATGACTGGGAACCTCAGGACTACGAATCCGAAGCGTTATCCACTCAGCTGTCAGGCTCTACTTCATACACACGCGTCAAAAATACTCGACACAAAGAGCGGAAGAGTAGATCGAACCATCAAGGTATTTCACCGGCCCGATTTGCTGAAAGAGGCGGAGCCGCGGAAAACGCCCCAGGGTTGGACACGGGCTAGCAGTGACAAAAACCATGGCTGGGCCGGCTACCATGGGGCCAGAAGGAGAACCCTCCCCCGATAGGACTCCAGCCGAGCCAGAACCCGAAGCAACAGCTGGACCAGGGAAAAGAGGTACAAGGACTCACACATTGACCACTCTTGCCGAAAAGTGTTGACCGTGATGACTTCACAGTCGGGAAAGGGTGCGACAAACTGGAAGACGCCACGACGATGCAAAGTGGTCCACCTCTGGGGGTCCGAACTTCCAGCAAAGACAACTGAAGGAGTCGGCGTCGACCCTCTATTCCATGGACAGAGGAATGAACCAAAACAGGCCATCCACCAGAACGTAGGACACGCTCCTGATGTGAACTGCACGGAGAGCTAAACCCCAAGAACTCAGCAGAACTCAGCTGGTCACGAAGTGATCAGCCCCAAAGACACCCTCCCCCCCCCCTGCAGTTCAGGCAGTGAACCACTGGGTAGCAGTATGAATGGAGCCGGATCTTAGAACCTCGAGCTAGCCGAATCCACCGCAGCGAAAGCCACACCTCCTCAAATTCCCACACCGTACTGTGAGCCCGATGGAACAACGGAGCCCAACGCCCCTGGCCGGCTTGGTGGGCAATGGTCGAAAAGCCCCAGCTGAGGCACTGAACCCCCAAAAATCTGAAGCAGCAGCCAGAGACACAGCAACTGATGCAAGGCTCAAAGCAGCTGAACCCAGCGATTGCGAGAGCTGCAGAAGGGACAGCCCCGAAGGAACAGAACAGCCTCCAAAGTCAAACTCGACCCAGCAAGTAAACCAGCATAGCAAAGTTCAAACGCTCGCACAGCTGCTCGAGCAACTGCCGAGTGACCCAGGACTTCACCTCAAGTACAGCTGAAGGAGGGATTGCAGCCAGAGCAAAGCCGCAGGAGGGAGACATGGACGCCGTCCAAGAATCCCAAACAAGCCCAGCCAAGTCCGAACCTGGGATGGCACCAAATGGGACTTCCTCCAGTTCACCAGGAACCTGAACCCAGCGAGCTAGGAATGAACCAAACCTCTAGGGAGCAGTCAAGCAGACTGGCTGCTTGTCTGGCAACACCAACCAGTCGTCGAAGTAGGCCAAAACCTGAACACCTACCAGACGCAAGCGGGCCACTACAATCTGGATAAAACGAGTGAAAACGCAAGGTGCCAGATTCAGCCTGAAAGTAAGGAAACGAAAGCGGAAAGCCTGCCACCCCACCACAAAATCTAACCAGTCCCTGAACTCCAGGTGAATAGGGATGTGCCAATATGCATCCCGGAGGTCCAGACACCATCCAAGAACCCGGCTCCCAGAGAAGCCGAACCCAGGACAAAGTGGTCATATGAAAGGATGGGCAAGAAATCCAGAGGTTCAGATTGGTCAAGTCCAGACTGAACCAAAGATCTGCACAGTTCTGTTTCAGAACTGGAAACAAATGAGAAACACACTTGAGGGATGAAGTCGTTTCAACCACGCCTAAGTGCACCCACTCCAAGATGAAAGAAGCGAATGGAGTGAAGAGGAAGAAGCCTGCCCCACCAGCCTCGAACCTCTGAAGAGGAGGAATCACCGCCCACCACCACCACAGGCCAGAAGACATGACCCGAAACGCCCACGAATCGTGGGACCAAGGGTGGGCAAACAGAGCCAGCCTACCCCTCAGCACCCCATCAATAATGCAACCTGTGAAAGGACCAGCGCCCCTTTTGAGAAGCCGACATACGTTCAGAGCAACGACTGTGCCGACCAAACAAAGATGGCTCCAGAGGAGGCACCGGCTCATAAGCTGGCACCAAGAGGCCCACTTCAACTTGCCAAAGCCCGAGCCCTAGCACGACTCTTCCGGGAAGTGTGAGAATGCCCCGCCCCGGATCACCAACAAATTTGAAAGAGGACAGCAACTGGTAGAAGCAGCCTGCAAAAACTGAGAAACGATCTCGTCCGAAAACAACAACGGATAGAAAGGAGATGAAACTTAAGAGCCAGGGGCCCAACCTGAATCAAAAGAGAGCGAGGACGGAATGCCGACATGCAAGGCAAGAAGCAAAAAGCACACACACCAACTCCCGGAGGATCAGCGCAAAGTTTCAGCAATGCCGATGACGCCTTAGCAGCCAAGGCCAATGCCTCAGAAGACGGCCTGGCACTCGCCAACACCTTCACAAGCCAGTACGAGGACAACTCGAGAAGGGAAAAGAAGCGCAAGACCGAGGTCAGGTGCCCAAGTGTGCGAAGATCCTCCGCAACTAAGACAGACGAATGGGAGGGGACCTGGGCATGCAACTGGAGCAAGCCAACTTCATGAGGATGCACAGGGGTGTAAAGGCATGCATTGAGGTGCTCAAAAATGCCCCCCCCCCAAGTAAACCTGTAACACAGTAGTAACCTCCTGCCAATCCAGCGGCGTGTGGGTACAACATACCCACTCATACAGGGAAGGGGGATACGAACCCTGCAACAGCAAACCCCACCCCGAGGGCACCAAGGCCCAGGCAGGATCGAATGGGACCCAAGAGCCCCAAGCCGACTTCCCCCATAGCCCCAGATGCCAGGGGATCTGTTGGGAAGACCCAGAAGCCTCGGTGGGAGGACCAAGCTCAAAGACCTTCAAGCAAAACCCTGAAAGAGCACCACAACAACAGGAGGCCAGAGACACATACACAGCCACCACTAGTTATGTGAGCTGTGCAGAACCGTGCGCCCCAACCAGCAACAAACACTCCCTACGCAGGGCCAAATGAAAGCACCAAGACCTCCGCTGACCCTAAGGGCAAGGTCAATGCCTAGCGACAGCAACCCCTATGGGAGTGAGAACCAGGAAGCCCCAGAGAAGATAACCCTGATACCTAAGGGAAGTATTTACAGGGCACCTAGGGAAGAGAGCCCTAAGGGCATGCAGCCCGAAGTACAGCTTTCTCCTGGCCACCGCACCATCTACACAGCAGGCAAAACCGCAAGGGAAAAATCCTGACAGGAGATCGAGGCCAGAAATAACATCAGCCCCAGTCGGCTTCAGTTGACAAAGTGGTGGGCAAGCAGCTGGCTCGGGTGGGCCCCTTTCTCCCCTTCCTTACACGGGGGGAGAGAATGAGTGGCTCGTTGTTTTAATGATCTTTTGCTTGTTGCATTGTTTTTCTTGAGGGCAGTTCTTGGGCTCTGTTCAATCTTGCGTTACAATTTTCTACCAGTTGGGGTTTGTTTTGAGATGCCTACCTTTCTGGGTGCCTAACCACGGTGGATGGCAGACATGAATATACGTTGCACTCTCAAAGAGTGGAGTTTTCATAGGACATTGCTCCCCCTGCTCCTCTGAGGGAGCCATGTTCTGGCTCATGGTTCCCTGTAGGCACAACTCCATGTGACTGAAGCTCCAAACTAATATAGCAAATATCAGTTCGGAAAATGGTTAATCAATTTTGAAGCTCTTGACATCGAATCACTGAATATACTGTAAAATTGAAATGTCAGTTATTTTACTGTCTAGAATAAGTTTTTGACTATGTGTCACTTACCTCCACTTTAAAGTCAGAACATCATCTGCAAATCCCAAGAAGAGCATACAGCATATGGAGAGGAGAGACGTGAGATACTCAGAAAATGCAGCATGCGGAAAAGGGCTGCTTGGGTGTATGAAGTGTTGGCCAAAAGGAACACCCAGGAACAAAAACATGATGATGAGAAACACCGACCCACTCACCATTCCCATTGATTCTGGCCTGTTACAGAAAAAAAAATAATGCAAGGAATATTTTAAAAAATGAACACAGGATTCAACAGTTTATTAATAATTCAACCCATCCTCCTGTTTAGATACTGTAGTACTTATTGTGACGATCATCAATAGTCACGAATTCGTATGTACTTAGTTTTCAGATACTGTAGTAGTATACTGACAAGCAAGGAATTTAAAAATAGGAAGCTAAAACACAAACAAATATTTATAGGATTAGTATAGCGCACACATATAGTATATTAGGCCTCGTATATCGTTTATTAGGCCTAGGAAGGTTCGGTTAGCTTAGTTTGTCAAAGCAACACAAGTAATAAATAGTTCTCCGGTTTGTCCAATTCAATAGTGCCAATTTCTACATTCTAATTTTGTTTTTAGTCAGAATATATACTATAGTCCTCATTGTTACTATAAGTACAGTACTACCAAAACAGGAGACTGGGTTGTAATAATTGTACATAATATCAAATAATTAAACTATAAAGTATATGCTTCAAGTTGATGCTCTCCGAGCATCAACTTGAATCAACAGAACAAGATGTGTGCAGTCGAGACATGTTGGCCATCTTGCCCAAAACACCGTAATACTGTAGTGGCTTCGTTAGTTTGTGTTAACTTCTGTCCCCACAAGTGTTCATTACTCTTATGTTGTTTGTACACACATTCTTTTGAATCAAAATTTTATATGGTCAAATGTAATTTTCTTAAATGTAAAAGTACAGAGTCTTGATACATGTTAGATAGGTTTGCTGCTCAGGCCAATAAGAACAATTGGCATGATATATAAAAAGGACTTTTATGTTCAGAAATAAAAAAAAGCACAAAAACAATGAAATTCTTCACAAAGAATTAAAGTGCGGTTATCACTAGGCGGGAGATACTGGTAAACTGCAGCGCACCATGTGCTCGGTTGGCCCATATGTGTATCAACAAACTCGAGCACTGAGGCAAACCTTGAGTACCGAGTCAAATTTTTCAAAGAAATTGAGCTCGAGAAATGAAAAATTTGAAAAGAGGGGCATTTGAAAACAGAGGTTCCAATGTACTATACAAGATTCCGATTTGCTACATGCTATCATCTTATGTAAAGGTTACAGTATGGGCTATTCATGCTCATGCCACCTCTTGGGTGGCTTAATCTTCATCAATAAGAGATAACAATTATTTTTTAATGTAAAAAGAGACATGGTAATACAGTACCTCTTGCATTTTATCAGAAATTATAGAGCAAAACAATATATTAAATTACAGCATTAATATATTAAGTATATAATTTCAATACAACCATTCTAAATACAATCTTACACTTTTGTAGTGCGGTCTCGTTTGCAGAGGTCCCGTCCAAATAGCCCTGCATTAATGAACATTTCGGAGACTGCAGGGATAGTTCGAACCACAGCACCGGCGCCCACTACCGACACCACTATGTTTATGCATAGTGCCAATAACATTTCTGAAATAATAAAGTTGTATTTTCAGGAAAAATACAAAAAGTAACTATCAAAAGAGGGTACCAAGCCTGGAAGATTATTTAACACCTTATGTAGCACAGAACAGTGAAAAAGGCATGCGTATTATTCAGAAGGCCAAAACTGTATGAAAATTAGGACATTCTACGAGTACATGCATGGCAGTCATTAGGACATCGCAGTTCTGACAGTAAGGCAAAGTTTTTGTTCCATGAAGTGCCCATGAGCTAATTGGGTTGGCAATACATAACCTAGCCAGAGTTGAATTCCACCTCCTGTTGTTGTGAGAGTTACAGTTAACACTATCAGTCACCAGGCAGGCGCGCGGTCAACTTGTGGGTCATGTACCGAGCATGTGGGTAAGTGCGCGGTGACACCTAAATGTGTATACTCATTTCAGCTCTCACCTTAATTCTCGTGCTACGCCGCTCGTTTTAGTATCATTGTGTTCGCAATTAAATTTCCTACAGGTGTGTATAAATATAATGTCCAAAAGCCTGGCGTGACTCCAAACAGCAAAGCCTAAAATCGGCAAAAATTACCCGTGAGCGCACAAAATCAGTAAAATGTGCATACTTGTTCCATTTTTCTCACCTTAATTCTTGTGCTACGTTGCTCGTTTTGGTATTTTTTTCGTTTTTGGTGTTCGCAATTAAATTCCCTACAGATGTGTATGAATATAATGTACAAAAGTTTGGAGTGCCTCCCTGCAGAAAAGCCTAAAGTTACCCGTGAACGAGCACCAATTTGTACACTACAACCTAATGTGTATACTCGTTCAGTTTGATAACAGCAATTTTCGTATTACGTCTTTAACTTTGGTGTCAAATTGTTCGCAATAAAAAGGCGCGTATTTTAAAACTAGTCTCATAATAATAGAGCAGTAACTGGAATTTTAACAAATATTTTAATTCTGGACGCTCATCATCACAAAATTATTTATATCTTTCTAGTGTTCTGACAAATTTTTGTGTTACATCTTTCATTTTGGTATCAAATTGTTCGCAACGTAAAGGCGAGCATTTTAAAACTAGTCCCAACATAATAGCATAATAAATAGAATTTTAACAAATATTTTAAAATTTTGACCAAAAGCCTATTTATAATCATGTAAGTGTTTGGACATCAAGTTTCATGTTACATCTTTCATTTTGGTATTAAATTGTGCGTATTCTAAAGGCGCTTATTTTGATACTATCCCGAGGTCGATTGAATAAAAAATTAATTTTATACAAATATTTTTTGTAGTGGACGCAAGTTCGGTCCAAAGTTAGGACTCGGGAGAAAAATAATGGACGCGAGTCCGGTCCAAAGTGACCGATAGTGTTAATAGTACACAGTTTGTTCTCTAGTCATCTATCCCTCCAATGGTTGCGTTAGTTGTATAAAAATAAATTCTGCAGTTGCTGTCATCATCTTCTCTATTACTTTCCGCGCGTGCGCGCGTGTGTGTGTCTGTGTGGTGGGGAAAGGAAGTGTTGGCATGCTCATTTTTTAATGGCTGAAAATTAAGACAACCAATCCATAAATCTGAAAATGAAGAATTGATAATGTTTCAGTCTGTCCTGGACTATTATCAGTTCATGTATATAAATTGTTTGTCTCTACCACCCCCCCCCCCCATTACATGACTTGATAATGGTCCAGGATGGACTGAAATGTGTCTATTTTCGGATTCATAGTCCCGAGGTTCCGGGTTCAATCCCCAGCGGAGGCGAAAACAAATGGGCATAGTTTCTTTCACCCTGATTCCCCTGTTACTTAGCAGTTAATTAGGTACCTGGGAGTTAGACAGCTGCTACGGGCTGCTTCCTGGGGGGGGGGGGGTGTAACAAAAAGGAGGCCTGGTCAAGGACCGGGCCACAGAGACGCTAAGCCCCGAAATCACCTCAAGATCAAGATGTGTTTAAATTGCCCATTCTCTTTCATTCAACTTCCATTTATTTTTGGATGCTTGTTAGATATAATAACCCTTTTGCTATCTGATCTTCTCTTATCAGCTCTCACATAATCAGTGGTCAACACTTTGACTCGCAATAGTGGGACCCGGGTTCAATTCTAGGGCAGTAGAGAAACGGTTGGGCACATTTCACTTGATACCTTTATTCAGGCAGCAATAACTACTGTAGGTACCTCAGGAGTTAGGTAACCATTATGGGTTGCACCTTGGGGAAGGTCAGTAGTATGAATAGGGTGACCTTGACAAGCCAAAGTACAGGCTTCCTGTCTCTGATAACCTCAGTTATATTTGCTATACTTCTCTAGTATCACCTATTTACTTTAACCTTTTTTTCTCCAGAACCACATAGTTTAACTTGTGAAATTTTATCTTAAAAATTTATTTATTTACATATAAAAAGGTACATTGGGTTGTGAATATATAAAACATTTATGTTACATTTTTGCAAAGGCTGTAAAATGCAGTGTTTCGGGCAGCTAAATAATCTAATCTAATCTAAAGCCACCGACATTTATTCCAAGGACACCATTTACACCCAATACGTCACGTTCAGCCCACTTCTGCTTTACCACTCTGATCACTTACATAATTATTTGCAGTGGAATCTCAAATATACCAAACCACTATACTGTACATTATTCCAAACTCCATTTTTTGGTTCCCTCCACTTTTGTTCTTAATCACAAAATGATACTGCACACTGTACCTTCTTGTAGATAAATACAGTAATATAATTAATAATGTAAATATAATTCATTGTGTTGGGAGACAGGAAGCCAGAGTGTAGTCATACATGAAAGGCTTACATCGAGGCCCCCCCCCCCCAAGGTTGAATTTCTGACCCTGCCTAGGTGCAACCCTACTGACTAATTCCTATCTACCTGCTTACTGCTAGGTGAACATAGCCAATAGGTGAAAGGAAATGTGTCCAACCATTTCTGTCCGGCCAGGGATTCAAACCCGGAAGTCTCGATTGTGTGTTGAGAACAAACCCGACTGTACTTGGGAGTGCTTGTATTGTTTTCGGAGTAATCCAGGAGATCCTACCATAAAACATTTTTTTTATATACTGTACTGTACAGTATATTAAAACAAGGAGCAATGGGTCATAATAACTTTACCCAAAAATGCAAAAATTAATGCAATCAACTTTACAAATTAACAAGGTGTCCTTGCCAGAGCCGACGATGCCCGGGCCCAGAGCCGATGGTGCCTGGGCTCAGAGCCAACAGTGCCCGGGCCCAGAGCCGACAGTGCCCGGGCCCAGAGCCGACGGTGCCTGGGCTCAGAGCCAACAGTGCCCGGACCCAGAGCCGACGGTGCCTGGGCTCAGAGCCAACAGTGCCCGGGCCCAGAGCCGACAGTGCCCGGGCCCAGAGCCGACGGTGCCTGGGCTCAGAGCCAACAGTGCCCGGGCCCAGAGCCGACAGTGCCCGGGCCCAGAGCCGACGGTGCCTGGGCTCAGAGCCAACAGTGCCCGGACCCAGAGCCGACGGTGCCTGGGCCCAGAGCCGATGGTGCCCGGGCCCAGAGCCGATGGCACCTGGGGCCTCAATGATGACAATACCTAAGCAGATATGGGGATTAAGTGTCAAAATGGGAGCAAAATGTTAAATATAATTCTGTCCTCTTCCAGAATTATGGTGGTGAGTGAAGTGATCCGCCCAGCCCTGGTGACCTGCGGCCAGGCTCCACCAACCTGACAACACCTGTGGCAGGTGTCTCCAGGCTGCCACCACCACCACACACTGGCACTCTTCACGTGACCCTCAACAGTGCCAACCCTTGCTACGTTAGACTGGCACAACGTCCACAAGAGCGTCCGTGCTGAGCTCTCACTACACCAGAGCCACCTGCCTGTTGGTGCTGGCACGGTGACGGGCCAGGTAACACGGTAGTTAAGGCAGGACATGTGTGGCACTCACCTGGGGTCGGGGGCCGCCTGCTGTGTTGATACACGAGTGCCACCCACCACCACGCTGCCTCCCGCGTCCCTGGCATCACACCTGCCATCTCTCACCAGCTGTGGGTGTCTCGAGGCGTGTGGGTGTGTCTTGAGGTGTGTGAGAGTGTCTTGAGGTGTGTGAGAGTGTCTCGAGGGTGTTATTGTTGTGTTTGTAGGGGACATGAGGGCACCTGCCTGACCTATAGGGTCCTGCCATGCCCCGACCCACAACACCAACAACACCTCATTCTCGTTATTACACACTTTACACATATTTGTATAATCCATGACATTTATTAACATAAATTCATTGACAAAATTATCTGCTTTAAGAAAAATGTAAAATCTTTATATGCGATATAATATGATCAACATCACTATTAGAGGATTTGCTATCATACTAGTAAATATATATCAAAAAAATATTTAAATTAGAATTACCGTAAAATAAATGTATTAAATAGCTTAAAAAGATTTATGAAGCTTTAAAATATGAAAAAAATTCTTCCTCAGGGCTACCATTGGTCAATTCCATGTGCGCGCCAAAACTCTGAGTTGTGATTGGTTGGCGTTGTGAGGGCGGGCGGCCATTGGTGGAGCGCGCGGGCAAGCCTCAGTGTCACGCTGCACCCCGCGCTGCTAACATCTGCTGGCTGATCTTCATCATTCTTGTTATCTTTATTCTCTCTGGAAGATGTCTGGACGCGGCAAAGGCGGTGAGTATGGGTGTGGCGGGGCGGGGCCGCCGCCAGGGTCGCTGGAGGAGGCGGCGGCGGCCTCAGCCTCCAGTGTTGCATCATCATGTGGCCGGCGCTACTTTTGAACAGCCTTAGTGGTGTGTTGACGCCGTTACCACCCTCAGGATGAACCCCAGTCTTATCGAGACACGGCGCCAGTGATGCTGAGATAATGAGTTTATTTTGGTGAAGATGGGGCGGTGTGCCCCATGGAGGGTGTGAACTAGAGCCTGGTGGAGGCGGCACGAGGGACCTGGGCTACACCATACAAGTATACTGATCAATGCCCACGAGACCCTGGAGGGCGCCTACAGGGATTCTTTCATGTTACCGGTGAGGGTGGCGGTACTGGGGAGCGGCACCCAGCCTGGGAGTGGACACGCTGCCATAGCAACCTGTACAACACTCCCCAATCCACCAGGTTGTTGTTGTTGTCCACTGTGTACCACACGACCCGCTGGCTTGTCCCCGACTTACCTGAGGGCCACTAATAACCCTCCTGGCCTCGACGAGGACAGGAAGCCTGCGGCCTGTCGAAGGTTTCCCCCACCCTCATTTGCCTTGATCTTTTCCAGGTATACTTTAAAAGGTAAGAGTTTTGTCATATGCGGCTTGGACGGGTAGGGGGTTCCATGGGCATATAACCCTGTGGGTGAGAAAGCATCTCCTGTTGTCAGTCCTACACAGGCTTGTTGAGCCTGAAACTGTTGGTCCTTGTTTGTGTTGGAGCTGACCTGAAGGTGTCCAGGTCAGCAGTAGTGCGAGCGCTCGCTGGAATGTGGAGAAAGAGCTAAGCTTTGGCAAAAAATTATAGACCAGTTGCACTAACATCACATAATAAAGGTTTTTGAAAGTGATTAGGAATCACATTTCTTGTTTTTTGGACAACAATGAGCTACACAACCCAGGACAACATGGATTTAGAGCGGGCAGATCCTGTCTGTCAGTTACTCAACCACTATGACACAATCACAGAAGCTTTAGAAGAAAATCAAAATGCAGATGTTATATACATAGACTTTGCAACGACATTCGACAAATATGACCATGGAGTGATAGCGCACAAAATAAGATCAATGGGGAATAACTGGTAAAGTAGGATGCTGGGTATTTAGTTTTCTGCCAAACACAACAGAGCAACAGTCATCCATATAAAATAAAGTCCAAGCGCAATTAGAAGCTCTGTACCTCAGGGTACAGTCCTTGCACCACTGCTGTTCCTTATTCTCATATCAGATGTAGACAAAAATACAAGTCACGTCTTCGTATCATCCTTTGCAGATGATACAAAAATTGTCATGAAATTACCTCTGCTGAAGACATTGAAAAACTACAAGCAGATATTAATAAGTTTTTGACTGGGCAACAGAAAATAACATGATCTTAACAGTGATAAATTCCAGTTATTCAGGTACTGTACAGCAAAAATGAGGACCTTAAACATAATACAGGGTACAGTATGCAATCAAATCTGCCCATAGTAGGAAAACAGCATGTCAAGTATATGGGAATAATGATGTCTGACGACCTAACGTTTAGGGAGCATAACAAAGCAAATATTGCGTCGGCCAGAAAATTGATAGGATGGATTATGAGAACTTTTAAATCCAGGAATCCCATCACAATGATTGTACTCTTCAAAGCACTTGTGCTGTCCCATCTTGAGTACTGCTCGGTACTCACTTTCCCCTTCAGAGCAGGAGAGATTGCTGAAAGATGGAATACAGAGAACATATACGGCATACATAGACACGATAAAGCGCCTAAATTATTAGGATCGTCTCAAAGCTATCTTAATGTACTCACTAGAAAGGAGACGAGAGATGTCAAATATACACATGGAAAATACTGGAAGGACAGGTCCCAAATCTGCACAGCAAAATAACACCATACTGGAGTGAACGATATGGAAGAAAATGCAGAATAGAACCAGTGAAGAGCAGAGGTGCCATAGGCACAATCAGAGAACACTGTATAAACATCAGAGGTCCGCGGTTGTTCAACATCCTCCCAGCGAGCATAAGAAATATTGCCGAAACAACCGTGGACATCTTCAAGAGAAACTAGATTTATTCATCCAAGGAGTGCTGGACCAACCAGACTGTGGTGGGTATGTGGGCCTGCGGGCCGCTCCAAGCAACAGCCTGGTGGACCATCTTTCCTTTACCAGTTATTCCCATTGACCTCATTTTGTACTACTGTATTACTCCATGTCACATTTATCGAATGCCTTTGCGAAGGCAAAGGCCTCTTCCAATGCCTGTGATTATGTCATAGTGGTTAAGTAGCTGTCAGAGGCATGGTCTTCCCGCTCTAAATCCATGTTGGTCTGGGTTGTGAAGGTAATTGGTCTCCATGAAATTGGTGACCTGACTCCTGATCACTAATACTTCAACACTATAGCGAGTGCGTGTGCTACTGGCACTTTACATTTATAAATACTGTATTGAATTTCCAAAGTCTGGACCCTGGGCCGAGTGCATGGGCATGTTGTCATTTTCTTTCAAAATCTGCCACGCTCGTGTTTTGTTATATTTACAGGGAGTTTGGATATCACACACAAAGTAGTTGTGCTAATCTTTCACTTTCGTGCTGTTTTTTGGAGCTAAACATGGCCTCGTTGTATTTTTTAGGATTTCACTTATTTCTTTGTCATCTTCAATGTATGAGTGTTCAGTTAATTTTATAGTACAGTAATGTTATTGTCATTGCATTAATTTTTTATGCCAAGCCAATGGAAAAACTCAAGGCAGTGATGGCAAGAGCTAAATGACTGATGTTTACTTTTATAATTATAGATTTTAAATTTTGACAATTTTAATAATTACAATTAGTGTACATGGTGCCTGTATGCAAATTCCTAAGATTCTGTGTATAAGTTTAACATTCCATTCTGGTACATTGAGCAATTTGTTCCAAAAAGCATTGGGAACATTAGTTGAAATGGGAAAAGTTATGTTCTGTTCTGTTCATATTTTAGGCAAGGTGAAGGGAAAGTCAAAGTCCCGGTCAAGTCGTGCTGGTCTGCAGTTCCCTGTTGGGCGTATCCATAGACTTCTTCGCAAGGGCAATTATGCTGAACGTGTTGGTGCTGGTGCCCCAGTTTATTTGGCTGCTGTCATGGAATACCTAGCTGCTGAAGTCCTGGAGTTGGCAGGTAAATAATTTTAAATGGTTGGTCCAGCTTAATATGCATGACCTGCTGTAGTTAACTGAATAATTTATTGAATGCTTTTTTTATTATTTTTTTACAAAGCTAAAATAACATGGTGCCTAATACAATGAATTTCTTTGAAATCCAATTAATGCCAAATCACTTGTGAAGACCCATAAAATACAGTGTGAAGGGTAAAGTTTTAACTTGAGTATTGCTGACTTTTGATAATCCTTGTCCCTATGGAGTATTAAGTTCATCTTCATTGTTGAAGCTGTGCTGTATAGATGGTAGTTAACAATGTGTGCTACTTTTAAGGCTTAAATTTTTCATAATTTGATATCTACAGGAAATGCTGCCAGAGACAATAAGAAGACTCGCATCATCCCCCGACACCTCCAGCTTGCCATTCGTAATGATGAAGAACTTAACAAGTTGCTGTCCGGCGTCACCATTGCTCAGGTATTTTTCCAGACTTTGCTAGTAGTTTGAATTTGATTGTTTCGTAAACTTTTAACTAGCAGTGCATAATATAAAGCAAACAAGTTTGAGTGATCTTTAAACGCTTAAAAAATTTGAACAAGCACTTAAACCACTGGGATATTCGCAGTACTCGTTGAGATGAAGAGAACACTCTTATTGTGCACATGGAAATACTGGAAGGTTGAATTCCAAACCAATGGTTTGGAAACTGATTCCAATGGAACTAAAACGTAGTGGAGCGAGAGATAATAGCACAAATAGCACATGGGAAAATATATCCAATGATAGGTTGGGGTGCCAAAAGCACAATTAAAGATTTGTACATATCAGAGGCTCACAGTTTGCTGCTAAGAATTAAAGAAATGTTAGAATAATGGTTAAACCTTTCTAGAGGACTAGATAATATAACTGAATAACAGGACTAAATTGTCAGTGGGTCATCATTTGACCAACGAAGACAGTCACAGACCAGGTGGTTGTTAGGGAAGGCTGTGGTAGTAAAAGAATGTTATCATAGGTTATAGTATAGATTACTACATCAGTTTAGTTTACTTTGAAAGAGAAATTGACAGTATGTCCATACACTCAGCTCCTGGGCCTGACTTACGGAATTCAATATTCATAAAGAAATGTAAAGTACCAGTAGTGTGAGCACTCAGCATAAAATGGAGAAAGAGCCTGGATACAGGGGAGATACCGGCTGCACTTAAATCTGCAGATATAGCTCCTCAGCACAAGGGGGGGAGTAAAGCCTTGGCAAAAAATTTAAGACCAGTTGCACTAACATCACACATAATAAAAGGTTTTGAAAGAGTGATTAGGAATCAAATTTCTGGTTTCATGGAAAAATAATGAGCTACACAACCCAGGACAACATGGATTTAGAGTGGGCAGATCCTGTCTGTCGCAGTTACTCAACCACTATGACAAAATCACAGTAGCTCTTAGAAGAAAAGCAAAATGGAGATGGTGTATACACAGACTTTGCAAAGGCATTCGACAAATGTGACAGTGGAGTAATAGCACACAAAATGAGGTCAATGGGAATACTAGTAAAGTAGGACGCTGGATACTCGATTTCCTGTCAAACAACACAGAGTAACGTCGTTCAAATAAAATAGTCCAAGCTCGGTTAAAAGCTCTGTACCTCAAGGTACAGTTCTTCACCACTGCTGTTCCATATTATCATATCAGATATTGACAAAAATGCAAGTCACAACTTTCAGTCATCGTTTGCAGACGACACAAAAATCATCATGAAAATTACCTTGGCTGAAGACAATGAAAAACTACAAGCAGATATCAACAAAGTTTTTGATTGGGCAGCAGAAAATAACATGGTTTAACAGTGATAAATTCCAGGTACACAGGTATGGAAAAAATGACAATCTGAAACATAATACAGGGAACAAAACACAATCAAATCTGCCCATAGTAGGAAAACAGCATGTCTAGGATTTGGGAATAATAATGTCCGACGACCTAACGTTTAGGGAACATAACCAAGCAAGTATTGCGTCAGCCAGAAAAATGATAGGATGGATTACGAGACCTTTCAAATCCAGGGATCCCATCACAATGGTTGTTGGTTGTACTCTTCGAGTCACTTTACCATGTTGTGACTCGTTTATTAAAATTTTTTCAGGATGAAAATGAATTGTATTTGCAATTGTCGATTCAAGTAACTTTCCCACAATAGACGTTAGGCTAATTGGCCGATAGTTTGACACAAGTGATCTATTTCCTTTCTTAAAAATTGGTACCACATTAGCAACCTTCCACGACTCTGGCACTGCCTGATTTTTAACAATTTATTAAATATGGTAGACAGTGGATCGCAAAGCTCCTCTTTGCATTCTTTAAGCACCCTGGCAAACACTTCATCTGGCCCTGGGGATTTGTTTGGTTTGAGTTTTATTATTTGTTTAATATCATCCCTGGTAACTGTTAACTAGTCAACCTGTCCTCATCCCCAACTGCAGGACTTGTTCGGCTGAAGGCAGAGTCAAGTTCTTCTTTAGTAAATACAGAGATAAAATATTTATTAAAAATACTGCTCATCTCTTCGTCATTATCCGTTATCTGACCTGTCTCGGTTTTTAATGGACCTATCGTTTCCCTAACCTTTGTTCGATATAACTGAAAAAAAGCTTTAGGATTTGTTTTTGCTTGGCCTGCTATACGAACTTCATAATTTATTTTTGCTTTCCTTGTCTCTTTTCTAACGTTTCTAACCAGTTGTGCGAATTCTTGTTCTAAACTGACTTCCCCATTCTTAATCCTTTTGTACCAAGCACTCTTGCTACCTATAAGGTTTTTCAGATCCTTTGTTATCCATTTTGGGTCATTTGAATTTGATCTATTCAATTTGTAAGGTATACTACTTTCCTGTGCTTTGCTTAGAATATTTGTAAATAAGTTATATTTTGAATCCAAATCGAAATCCTCCTTTACATCTCACATCGCTAGGTTCACATCTTGCTCCAAGGCCCCCCCCCCCCCAATGACCAAGACTTTCCAATCTATTTGACCCAAAAATTCCTTAGGATAGGAGCCGGTCGGCCGAGTGGACAGCACGCTGGACTTGTGATCCTGTGGTCCTAGGTTCGGTCCCAGGCGCCGGCGAGAAACAATGGGCAGAGTTTCTTTCACCCTATGCCCCTGTTACTTAGGGCCTCGTAGCCTGGTGGATAGCGCGCAGGACTCGTAATTCTGTGGCGCGGGTTCGATTCCCGCACGAGGCAGAAACAAATGGGCAAAGTTTCTTTCACCCTGAATGCCCCCGTTACCTAGCAGTAAATAGGTACCTGGGAGTTAGTCAGCTGTCACGGGCTGCTTCCTGGGGGTGGAGGCCTGGTCGAGGACCGGGCCGCGGGGACACTAAAAAGCCCCGAAATCATCTCAAGATAACCTCAAGATATTAAAATTTGCTTTACAAAAATCTGCCACTTTAACAGAATTTTCTCCTGCAAATTTATTCCACTCTGTTAAATCTGATTTCTTTGTGATCACTGTTCCCTATTGCACTGCCAATTTTGATGTTATTAATCTGTGTTTCCCTGTTAGTTAACACTAAATCTAAAATATTATTTTCCCGCGTTGGTTCCTTAATGTGTTGCGTTAGAAAGCAATCGTAATTTAATTCTATAAAATCTGCTTCGTTATTCCGTTCTTTTAATCCAGTTAATTCCTCTAAAATTAGTCACCCATGACAAATACTTTTAACCTAGATGCTATAAATATTTCATCCCATAGATGCTTTGCTTCCATTCTGTGTAAATTTGGTGGCCTACATATAACTCCTATTGTAAGATTACAGTATTTGCTTTTTTGTTTAATTCTATCCGAATAGTTTGTGTGGCTGTTTTGATTCCCTCTGAGACATTTCAAATTGTCCCTAACATATATGGCTACTCCCCCTCCTCGTCTTTTAGTTGGGCAATATGGTCTTCCCAGTTAATTGGGATGAAAAAATATTTGTCTGGAAAATGTGTGTAATTACCTAAGTGTAGTTACAGGATGAGAGCTACTCTCGTGGTGTCCCGTCTACCCAGCACTCTGTCATATAGCGCTTTGAAACTACTGACGGTTTTGGCCTCGATCACCTTACTTATCTTGTTCCAACCGTCTACCACTGTTTGCGAAAGTGAATTTTCTTATATTTATTCTGCGTCTTTGTTTAATTAGTTTAAATCTATGACCTCTTGTTCTTGAAGTTCCAGGTCTCTGGAAATCTTCCCTGTCGATTTTATCTATCCTGTTACTATTTTGTACGTAGTGATCATATCGCCTGTTTTTCTTCTAGTTTTGGCATATTTAATGCCTCTAACCTAGGGGAGCCGGTGGCTGAGCGGATAGAACACTGGACGCGTAATCCTGTGGTCCTGGGTTTGATCCCGGGTGCCAGCGAGAAACAATGGGCAGAGTTTTCACCCTGATGCCCCTGTTACTTAGCAGTAAATAGGTACCTGGGAGTTAGTCAGCTGTCACGGGCTGCTTCCTGGGGGTGGAGGCCTGGCCGAGGACCAGGCCGTGGTGACACTAAGCCCCGAAATCATCTCAAGATAACCTCAAGATCTCCTCGTAGCTCTTGCCCTTCTGTTCTGGGAGCCACTTAGTAGCATGTGTTTGCACTTTTTCCAGCTTGTTGTGCTTCTTAAGATATGGGGACCACACAACTGCTGCATATTCTAGCTTTGGCCTAACAAAAGTCGTGAACAATTTCTTTAGTATATCGCCAACCATGTATTTAAAAGCAATTCTGAAGTTAGCAAGCATGGCATAGGCTCCTTGCACAACGTTCTTTATGTGGTCCTCAGGTGATAGTTTTCTATCTAGAACCACCCCTAGATCTTTCTTTTATCAGAATTCTTTAAGGATTTCTCACATAATTTATAGGTTGTGTGGGGTCTCTGTTCATCTATTCCACATTACATAACAGCATTTATTCATATTAAATTCCATTTGCAAAGTGGTGCTCCATATACTTTTGTCCAGGTCTTCTTGAAGGGCATGACAATCATCTAAGTTTCTTATCCTTCCTATTATCTTAGCATCATCAGCAAACATGTTCGTATAATTCTGTATTCCAACTGGTAGATCATTTATGTAGACAATGAACATCACCGGTGCAAGAACTGAGCCCTGTGGTACTCTACTTGACATTTCTCCAATCCGATACATTGTCTCTGATTACTGCCTCATTTTTTCTATGGATCAGAATTTTTTTTATCCGTGTTAGAAGCTTACCTGTCACCCCTCCAATATTTTCCAGTTTCCAGAACAACTTCTTATGTGGAACTCTCAAAAGCCTTTTTTAGGTCCAGATAGATGCAGTCAACCCAACCATTTCTTTTCTGTAACATCTCTGTGGCTCTATCATAGAAACCGAGTAAATTCGTTACACAGGATCTTCCAGATCAAAAACCATACTGTCTGTCTGATATTATATTATTTCTCTCCAGGTGTTCTACCCATTTAGTTTTTATTATTTTTTCCAATATTTTGACTATTACACTTGTCAATGATACAGGTTTCTTCCCTACTGCCACTTTTGTAGATTGGAACTGTTAGCCTTTTTCCACACATCTGCTACTACTCCTGTGCACAGGGATATCTGAAAAATCAGCCGAAGTGGTATGCTGAGCTCAACTGCACATTCTTTCAGAACCCATGGTGAAACTCAATCTGGGCCAACTGCTTTGTTCTTTCTTAGCTTCAAGAGCATTTGTTTCACTTTCTCTAGACACCTCTATGTGCTCTTATGTTGTTCTCTGGAATTCTTATTGCGTCTGGTTCCCTGAAGATTCCACACAATTTGGAACTTTTTGTTTAAATGTTTCACACATTTCCTTATCATTTTCCGTGTATCTGTTCCCCATTTTCATCCTCTGAATATTATCCTTTACCTGCAGTTTCATTTTAATGAGTTTATAGAAAAGGCCTGGATCTGATTTACACTTGTCTGCTATACCGTTCTCAAAGCTCCTCTCTGTCCTTACTGATGTGTTGTTGTTTCTTGCATGTTTGTATTGCTGATATGTTTGGGGGTTTGGCCTCTTCCTATAATGATTCCATGCCTGTGTCTTTTGATCTCTGGCCCTCTTGCCATTTCTGTTGAACCAATCCTGTTTCCTAGGTCTGCATCTCTGTTTTGGTATGAATGTTTGTGTGCCTTCATCGTATATTTTGCAAAATATGGCATACATCTCATTTACTTGCTTACCTAGCAACAAGTCCGTCCAATTATACCCATGAAAAAAATTCTAAGTTCCCCATATCTTGAAATAGAATTTAGCAACTGTTTCAGTGTCCCCATTCTCTAATAGATTATTTCGCAAAGCGTATTTAATGTCCAAGAGGACGCGATCACTTTCCCAAGGGAGGATGGTACTGGATGTCAAATACCTCTTCTTTCCTGGTGAATATTAGATCCAGTATTGCCGGAATATCCCCTTCCCTCATTCTTGTGGCTTGCTTGACGTGTTGATACATGAATGTCTCCAAGACAAATCTGCCTGTCCAAATGTCCTCTGTTGCTTCATAGGCCTCCTAGTCTATTGCCTTAAAGTTGAAGTCCCAAGTTCCAACATTTGAGATTTATCTTTGTCAGCTCTTACCATAATCTCTCTCATGACCATTATGAGGCCCTCTAGTTTGTCATCCAGTTCTTCCTTTGTCCATGTGTTGCTTGCTGGTGGGCTGTAGGCATTTAAAATTATCAGCTTATCTTGATTCCAGATCTGCAATGCCATTATGTCAATATCTCGAGGGTTTTCAATTATTAACACTTACCTTCAGGTGATCTTTCACCAGCACAGCCACTCCATCTCCCTTCCTAGTTTTCCTGTCGCGTCTCCAAACCGAGTAGCCCCTTGGGAATACGACTTCATTTAAAAATATTTTCAAGTTTCGTCTGTTAATGCGACAATATCTGGGACTTTGAGCTTAATTATATCGACTCCAATATTTTTTCTCACTCCATCTTGAGGTTAGGTTATCTTGAGATGATTTCGGGGCTTTAGTGTCCCCACGGCCCGGTCCTCGACCAGGCCTCCACCCCCAGGAAGCAGCCCGTGACAGCTGATTAACACCCAGGTACCTATTTACTGCTAGGTAACGGGCATTCAGGGTGAAAGAAACTTTGCCCATTTGTTTCTGCCTTGTGCGGGAATCGAACCCGCGCCACAGAATTACGAGTCCTGCGCGCTATCCACCAGGCTACGAGGCCCTATCTTTGTTGGTATATACTATTTTCAGTAACGTGTTCCCCTTCCCTTTGTTCTTTACACCCCCTTCCTTTAGTGATTTATACTAAGTTAATATCTCCAGTTAGTGGTTAGGGATTTTAAATAGTACAATCTAAGTTTTAAAAAAGATTGTATGCAGAGCTTGGTTATTTTTTCAACATTCCTGCAGTTTATAACTTGTACTGGGCTAACAAACATGGCTTTAGTTATACTATGAAGTCTTGTGACATTTACTATAAAGTTTGTTGTCTGCTTTAATCCCTTTATGGAAGTCAACTTCTATATAGTGTGTGTGCGAAGATCATTGGCATAATCTTCAACCCCTACCTATCCCGAGTGTTGAGTCTCTTATTGGAAATGCACTCCTACTTTGTGAGGGCGTTTTCAGTAGTTGTAAGGATGCCGTGATCAATATTGCCTTTGAAACTGCCCAGGATACTAGTTGCCATTTACACTACTACCTCTTGACTATTGCACTTGCTCAAGAGTCATGTTCTGCCTTGCCACCTTTTACTACAAGGTATGCTTAACAAAATATTGCTAGCTGTTTGCAGTGTCGCAGCGTTACCTCTAGGAAAACCAGATTATTAAATTTATATAATGCTAGCTCTTACATTGTGGAATTTTATTGAAGATTGCCTTCATCCTTTCACACTTGCTATATTTTCTGGCGAAGTTGGCTTATTTTCCTTGATAAATCCATTGATTCTTGTGCTCCAAAACAGGTATTTTTACTGCACAACTTTGACATTGTCATGCTTTGAAACGGTCAATTATCATTGACTTGTGAAGTGCACTTGTGGTATTTATATTTTTTTAGTCTTGATTTTTACTGGTTACCTAGGTAGGATTGGTGTTGCCTTCAGTGATCAAGAAGACTGCTGCTGAATAACTCAGTCATAGCCATTCATCTCCCAGAAACTGTTGTTGTTCTAATAGGCTGTCCTAATTTTCAGGATCAGAAATGTATATTTTTTTGCACTGCTCATATATGCCCCATGACCTTAATAAAATCCTCATTGAGTCTTCAACATGTCTTTTCTCTCACATAGAGGCCATCTGGAGGATATCTAGGAATTTGGATGTTAGTGCTTAGTGCTTTTATGTAATAGCTATTAGTTAAGTAATGCTCATGAATGGTGAATTAATGTATTTTCTGTTGACCCAGGGAGGTGTGCTGCCAAACATTCAGGCTGTACTGCTACCAAAGAAGGCAGAAACTAAGGTTGGAAAACTAAAGAGCCAATCTCAAGAATACTAATCAGTATGGAAGACCATTCAGATGGGAGGTTGGCATGGATGAGTGAAGTTAAAGATGTGAAGATTGTTTAACCATCTTCCCGACAGCTTTCTTTACATTTACTGTTTAATTGTTGTAAACTAAAGAGCAGCTGATTGTAAAATATAAGCCATTGTAATTAGGCCTATAAAGTAGTGTCATTGTACAGGAAATCCATTGTTGGATAAGCATGCATAGGTTTGAAATTGCTCAATACTAAAGTCTTGTTTAATTTTCTAGTTGTAAAGACCCCATTAATATAAGGCAGATTTAATGCTATACCTTTGGAGGTTCTACAAGTAACTAACCAGGGATATCTAATGCTGTTGAACCAGAGCTCTGGCATTCCTTACATTTATTAATTTCTAGGAGTACAATTTTTAATTTAAGGTAATTTCATAAATGTAGTTTTATTTTACCATCAGTTGTGATTTTTTGTATTAAATAAATTAAATAGTTGGTTTTTAAATTTTCCCATTGACATTATTGTGTAAAGTTTGAAATTTTGGGTTACATAAGTAATGTGTATTTTGCAGATCTTCTTGCTAGGAATGTGATCATTAACCCCTTACACTGCTACAGCCTAGGCTGTAAATGGGGGTATAAGTTGGGGCTAGGTGAAAATATGTTTGAATTAAGTTAAAATTAATATTAAATGTTAAATCTCCAACTTATTGGCTTCAGCATCGTGAAAGTTTCATCCCAATATTTTCAGAAATGGATTTTAGACTTAAAAAAAAAAAAAAAAAAAAGAGACCGTTTTGTTGATAGAGAACAGCTATTAACTGGAACTAAGGGAAAATGCAGTAATAGACATATGCAAGCACCTGTCTGATGCACAAAGTGGATATGCAGCTGGTGCCTTTATGGCATTGCTGGGTACAGTATTACATAACACAAATAATGTTATGCTCTATTTTGTTATGTATCATAAATACATTGCCCAATGTTATCAGTTACTTTCAACAATGTCCAAACAGTAATTTTTTTTTTTTCCCCCAGATTTCAAACTATTTTCCTTGTTTAGATTGTTTTGATTTTTTTTTTTTTTTTTATACTTATATAAAGTACTGTATACCCCTAAATATAACCCTTAAATAATTATAATTATTACTATATTTAGTGTTTTGGGGAAGGTATTTTTTTCTTGACTTCATTTTAACACATTGACCTACATTTTTTACATTTGAGTACGGATCCCAAACAATGTTTATTAAAACATACAAGTAAATTAATGCATTAGAACATTATACATTGTCGATAACTTCAACTTCAATTATCTCTAAAACCAGAGTTTCAACATTGAGTCAGCTTAAAAAAAATCCAGTTTGATTCTCGCCATTTTTACATAGTGTGCGCCAGTGTCTGTTCTACAATCCTATTGGAATGGATTTTTTATAAACTAAACAATTTGTTATAAATTTTGTCTAAATATAGTACATATTTCAAAATGCCATATTGGCAATTTTTTTTTACAGTAAACTAAACTGAAAATCTGTATTCTAAATATTAAAATGAAGATCATATACTATTCTGAGTGCATAACAACACTTAATGAACAATTGGTGATGTTAAATATTTTTGCAGCCGATCTGAGAATTGAAATTTTCAACATTAAATTTTATATATATTTTTAACTAGCAGTACTCGGCCACGCGTTGCTGTGGCTCAGCAACACATGTGCGTTGCTGAACCACAGCAATCTTCTCTGTTCCCCCAGTCCTCCCCACCATTCCCCCCTCAGCCTCACAACCATTCCACACTCCCCCCCCCCCCCGTCCCCTCGTCATCCCGACCATTCCACACTCCCTTGCCCGCCCCCTCCCCGCTCAGCTCGTTGTCGCCGTGTGGGGGCTTTGTGGGCGGCTGTCGGAGTGTGATGCTCCTTGGGACAGTCCTCTGTCCTTTTCTAGCCTTGTGCTCCTGCTGCCGTCCTCTCTAATTCTGCTGGGCATCTTTTCCTTTTTCTTCTGTTTCGTTTTTCTCCCCCCTCTTCTCCTATCTGCTTGCCGTTTCCTGCCGACCTTTTGCTCGTTCTGGTTCTTCCCTTGGACTTCTTCTATTTTGACGCCCGGGTGCTTGAGGAGGCATACTCTTGCACCCGTAGAACTGTAGTACCCGACGTCGAGAGCGAGGGGAACCTTTTATTGTCAATCCCCCTTTCGTCACTGAACCCGATCTCGACGGACTGTCGGTTTCTTAAGGTGGCATTTGTGGGGCGTATACTCACGACGCACCCCTAGGAGGCCCCGGCAAGATCGGCGATAGCTTCTTGTTGGGTGTCCTGCCTCTAATTGTGGCTCCATGGTGGGTGTGGGGGCACATTCGTGACTGAATTCTTCTTTTCGTAATGATAACCCGTTTCGGCTGCTTCTGGTTTACCTTCTCAGGCTCGTGGGGTGGGCGACCAAGCCCCCCGAGTTGGTCCGTATTGGAAGACCGGGCTCTGTAGCCTCCGCTGCATTGGGCCCCGACCTTGCTCCTCCTTTGGCCTCTCTGACTCCTTCCCTTGGCTCCCCTCCCTCCTCTGTGGTTGGGTCGAGCCCCAAGCCCCCAGTGGTGACTACCTCGTCCCCTGGCGCGGCTCCTTCTCTAGTTGTAACTACTGCGCCTTTTAACCCCTCTCTCTGGGGGTTCTCAGCCGCCCTCGCTCGATTCCTTCCAGTTCTGCTATCTATCAAGCCTTGTTTGGTCCCGCTTCGTGGGCCAAATATTTGGATCTCCCTCTTGATTCTGCGCCTCCTGACGATTTCTCCCTCCATCGACATCTCGTTGATTCCGTGGATGCCTCCATTACTTTCAACCCCACTCGTCTCGGTACACGTGTCGTTGCTGCTCCTTCTCAGGCTGCTGCTTCCCGCTTGGCTGCCTTATCCTGCCTTGGCGAGACCCCCTGTTCGGGTCTCGAAGAACGCTCAGTTGAATGCCAGTGTTGGCACTATTTTGCTCTCGCCCCATGTTGCGACCGGTGTTCGGGACCTGCGCGACTGCCACGACGATATTCGACATATCCTTGCTGCCCAGGGCCATTCTATTCTCCAGGTGGACACGTTTACTCGTGCCCCTCGTGGTAGTCGCCGTCAACCCCTCCGGGTTGTGAAGATTACCTTTGATGGTAGGACCCTTCCACCCTCTGTCATTCTTGCTGGTGCCAGGTGCTCTGTCCAGGAGTACATTCCTTCTCCTCGGCTCTGCAACCAGTGCTGGAGGTTTGGGCATGGTGCCCTCCGCTGTTCTGGGACTCTCTCTCTGTCCTTTGTGTGGTGGCGAAGGTCACTCTTAAGTCGGAGTGCACTTCTCCCCAGGCTCGTTGCCTCAACTGCGGTGAGGCCCATCCTACCTTCTCCCATGCGTGTGTCCATTACAAGCTTGAGGCAGCCGTCCTCAACTTGAAGCACCGGGAGCGTTTATCTTTTCCTGAGGCGAGACGCCAGGTTCGCCGGCTCCCGCCTTATGCTAATATCTCTTATGCTCGCATGTTGCGCTCTTCCTCTCCTCGTCCTTCCCGCCTTCCTCAGACTCACAACCGTTTCCGGGCCTTGGACCCTGATGCGCCCACTGCCCCCTCCTCTGTTCCTTTGGGTTCTCTCCCGAAGGTTCCTCCTCCTGGTCCTCTGTCTGGGGTTCCCCTTCTACCCGGTCTGTTGTGTCTCCTGTGTCTTCTTCCTCGTCTCCCTCTGTTCCTCCTTCCCCTCTGTCTCTTGACTCTCCCCGCCGCCTGTCGGTGCGGGCTGATGTCCATCGCTCTCCAAACGGCCGTCATGTGTGCTCTCGTTCAGCTTCTGTTGAGACCCTAGAATCCGTTGCCCAGTACGTGGTTGCTGGAACACCTGCCTCTTTACGTCAGAAGCGTAAACCTGGCTCCTCTCCTCCTCCCCAGCGGGTAAGAAGGTTTCGCTTTCTTCCTCGGCCCCTACTTCTGCCTTTCTCACTCCTTCCCCTCCCATTTCGGTGGTTGCGCCCCCTGTTCCTGCTATGGAGGTTTCTTAAGCCCCCACTTCCCTCTCAGTTGCTGCCCTTGCTGAGGTACGCTCCACTCTTTCTACCCCTCTTCCTGCTGCTGTCCTTGCCTGCTCCTCTCCGTTGTCTCCTCTTCCTCCTCCTCCTCCTGACCCCGCCCGCCCACCTCTGATCTGTTCTCCCGTTTCCTTCCCTCCGTCTTTGCTCAGTTTACCCATGCCCCCTAACCCTGACTTTGCTGACCCTGATCCCGACCCTGATATTCTTTAACGTGCTCTGTTGCTCTTTCGCCTTTGTTTCTTCCTTGTTCTCTGTTTTTGTCCTTTCTCTTCTCGTCGTTGTCCATTCTTCAATGGAACGTTCAAGGTTATTACGCTAATTTCCTCGAACTCCAACTTCTGATTTCGCGGTTTTCGCCCCTTTGTGTCTGTCTCCAGGAGCCGATGCTTGGTGCTCGTCCTGGTCGTTTTCATGGCTATTCCTTTCTCTCTCCCCCCCCCCCCCCCCCCAGCTATTGCTGGGGCTTCTAATTCTTCTGCTCTTTTAATTCGTGCTGATGTTCCCTTTGTTCCTTTACTTTTTCCTTCACCTCTCCATTGTTCTGCTGCTCGTGTCTTTGTGGGGAAATGGTACACTGTTTGTTCCATTTATCTCCCCCCCCCCCCCCCCCCCCCCCGAGTGTCCCGCTTTCTCTTCCTGATTTGAAACATCTCCTAGACTCCTTGCCGGAGCCTGTGCTCCTGCTGGGTGACTTCAATTGTCGTCATTCTCTTTGGGGTGACGTTCTGACGAATACCCGGGGTCGCCTTCTTGAGTCGTTTCTCCTCTCTTCTTCCCTGTCTCTTCTGAATTCTGGTGAGCCCACTCATTTGGACTCTCGGACTCACACCCTTTCTTGTCTTGATCTTTCTCTCTGCTCTTCTTCTCTTTACTTAGATTTCACGTGGCAGGTTCTTGATGACCTCCATGGCAGTGATCATTTCCCCATCCTTGTTTCCTTTTCTCTTTTCGCCCTTCCCTCTCTTTCCCTAGGTGGCAGTTTGCTAAGGCGGACTGGACCCTATTTTCCCTCAGTGCTACTCTCTCTGACCTCTCCCTTCTGCCTCTCTCTCGCGCTCTCCTCCTTTTTCATGACACTGTCTTCAACGCTGCCCTCCACTCTTCCTCCCGGGGTCCACGGAAGTGCGTTCCCTGGTGGAATGCGGACTGTGCTCGGGCTGTCCGCTGTAAGCGTGCAGCCTGGAAGAGGCACCGCCGTAGGCAGACGACCGATTCTTTTCTTTTCTTTCGGAAAGCGAGTGTGGTGGCCCGTACGGCTAAACGTGAATGTTGGGCATCTTATGTCTCAACAATTACGTCCGAAACCCCTCTGGCCCGGATCTGGAAGCGTATCCGCAAGATAGCGGGTAAGTTCGTTCCCAATGTTTCACCTGTCCTTCACCTCCATGATACTTGTGGCGGACCCGTTGCAGGTCGCTTCCGAACTGGGTTCCCAC